GCATCACAGCCAAAATTAGCTGAGAAGAAAAAGAATATTTTGGTTCACCTCTACTTTATATGGCAATTGCTAAAAGCAGAGTAACATTCCCTTCAATCTTGTCCTTCTTTTGCACTGTGTTGCATTCGGATTGGAGCAGACCTGCCGCTGCTGCGCCAAGATTTTCTCTGCCTCACATACCCATTCTTTACCTTTAACACGCTCTATTAATTTTTGATCTTAGGGTATAATAAATTGAGAAGATTAATGGTAAAAATTTTATAAAGATGTGCGCAAAGTAAAACTAGGTGTGTGAATAGCATTATTGTAATTTTAATAGATTGTAAATTAATGACAACTTAAGCATTGTTCAATGAGTTGAATACCATAATTTTATTTCTGAAAAACGATAAAATTAAGTACGACTTATATATGGTTTTATTCGTATTTATATCGACCTTTTGTGATAAGAAATTTACACAAACAAGTTTCAAAATAATATCAATGTAATTAGTGTGGTATGGTAATCTGATTCTTTCAAAATTTGACACAAAGTTAACTGAGATGAGCTTTAGAAGGGAATATTTAATTATTCTAGTTGTGGATATAAAAACCAGAAGGTCACGGTCACAACAGAATAAAAAACTTACATAGATTTTTGTTTCCAAAATAATGAATTTTTAAATTGCAGAAGTTAAAATGTGTAGTTTTTAATTCATGTGGCGTGCCAAATTGTACATTTGAGATGTGGTGATGATTAAACTATGAGTCGGCCAAATGATACACACACACACATATATATATATATATGCATCCTTCCTGTTCGTGTTGGGGCACGTCCATGGGAATTTAGAATCAAGTGCCTGTGCGTGGTCAACTTTGCAGTATATGCAGGAGAAGCTAAAAAAAGGGGAAATTAAGGGATTAAATTATGACATATTTTAAGTTTTGAAGGCAGCCTTAGCACATGGTTTTGTTCATTCAAAGATGATAACCGGTGGCCATGCATATTTGTGAATTAAAAATATAGAGCTCAACTGCAGCATGTGTGTCATTAAATAATATTATTCATAAAAATAAAGCATTAAAACACACACACACACACAAATCTTCGCACACATATCAATTTGTCATTAGAAAGAAATATTGAAATGTTTACTCAGTGGTCGAGTCATGATTTTATTATATTTGGATTACGATTTCGATAAAAAAAAAATTTCATTACACCTGTTGTGTTGAGCATATGATGAATATTTATTAAATTTGTGAATATTCCCTGAAAATTTATGATGACATCTATCAATAGCTTATGTGTTCTTCTAGCATCTGCATCTGTCAAAGTGTGCCCAGGCTAGATGATTGTCAAGACCTGGCTCATTGCTTGCCAAGACTTATAGTGAAGCTTTACGTCAAGCATATGTTGCGCACAAGAAATAGAAGAAGACACAGGTAAGAAGAAGAAAATTGAAGAAGGATGAAGCAGCAATAAGTTGTAATTCAACGTTGTTCACCTTCTCCTTAGTTGGGGTCAAAGACATTTAAAGAAGGAAGAAGCAACAATAGGTTGTAATTTAACGTTGTGCACTCTTTCCTTAGTTGAGGTTAAAGATAAATCTATATACGAATCTACATAGTGTTAAGAAGTTGGAGTCATGAGCAGCCATTGACCCCAAGCTAGCTCTGCTACTGTGTCTACTTGCAAGAAAATTAGCCAAACTGTCATTCGAAAAACACGGTATTTTTTCACACTATCATTATAAATCATTGTTCATGAAAGAAGTCTCAGGTTATAATCTTCATATACGTTAAAACTCCTAAAAGAGAACGAGAGAATAGAGATATTTTAGAGGAAAACGATAAAGGCTGCAAATTATTTAAGTGGGTAGTCAATATTGGAATGTTGATGATATGCATTTGCATGTTTTTATCCTCTAAATTATATGTTTTGTGCTCATTTAAGTTGGAGTATTTGCATGTTGCTTAGCTTAATTGTCCTCATTTTACTGTTGTGTGAAGCTCCAAGTTTCAACCACCATTAAAATACACCACAGAAACTATATAAATGTGACCCGTCGGCTGTCGCATGTCACGTATAACATCGGTTGTGTTATTTCGATCGTTTGACGAATGATTGCTCAGCTTTTTGGTCCCCATGCCAATATGCACCATGATCGAAAACAAACCAAAACAGGTGGCATATTGTAATTGTATGTATACATATAGAAACGACACCAACCAATACCGTTTTACTAGGATCTGTGTGGCTTTAAACGGAATGAATCTTGGCTTGGAAGGAACTAGATATGATATTATTGTGATATATGAATAGTAAAATTCATAATTGAATAATACTTGGTTATTCAAGAATGAGTAAAGATTCTTATTCAAGTATTTTTTGTGTTTGAATTACAGAGTTTTGTGTTTATGATTAGAACTGTTCATATTATGAATCACTTTGTAAAATTCCTCTCTTAAAAAAATGAATTAAAAATAAGATCGTTTAGTCAATTTATTGTAGCAAATACATAGACAGTTTGCAATGCTTTTACCAATTCCGTTCATCTATTTTTATACAATTCGATGACTAAATGACTTTAGTTTTAATTGATTTTTTTTTTGCAGAGACAATCTTTATAGAGTATTTACAATATGAATTATTCCGATTATAAATATAAAGTTATATGAATCGGCAATGAATAGTTTTGCGTAGGAATACTCATTCTTTGAGTAGCAAAGTATTGTTCTTTCATTATATATGTATGTGTTGTATTTACATTGTGTGAGTCAGATTTGAAACCTCTCTTAACCAGTTTGAGATTTGAGTGTTAGCATGAATTCCACATTGGAGAGATAGCAATAAGTCATGTTTGAAGAGGCTGGTATGCGGAACGTCTCGAAATAAAGCTAGGATCGATAGGCTCATTTAATCGAGATTTAGAAGATGAAATTTCACCCCCACCATCAATAGGTTTAGCCAACGCATTTACAACACCATCTAAAAAAGCCTTATGAACCTCTTTAACAAATAATTTTTTTGGTAAAACATTAATTTTTTTTTTTATGTCAAGTTCAGCTGGAACAAGGGGCGATGTGCAGATTTTAACAAGGTTTAAGGAATGAAAAGAATGTTGCATTTACTAAGAGCTCGTTTGGGAAGTAATTTTAAATGGTTGAAAATTCTTTTGGAGAAAATGTTTTTAAAATCAACACTTAGTAAAAATGCAAGTTAATCTTAAAAAAAAAAAAAAAAAAAAAACTACAAGAAGCACCAATTAATCCTGTAAAGCACTTGCATGAGCATTTCAAGTGCTTTTGGACTCCAATTTTTTTTTTTATAAAAGCGTTTACAATCATTTAATCTACAAGTATGTTCCATATATGAGGGTTTTTTTAAATCCAAACTAATTGAGTTGTTTGTTACATTAAAATATCGAATGCACTTAAAAACAAATAATGGTTAGATATAATATGTATATCATGTGCATAGACGTTCAAATTACAGATCTAGAACGTAAACCTCAAAATATCATTGGGAAGAAAAGGACACTAGAACGTTTTTCTTGTGCAACATAGGGGTTCTTCATCTTGTAGCGCAGCTCACTATTTATGCGAGTGGGGGACATGGCCCAGCTCACAGTCACGGTTTGAGAGAGACTGAAAACTTCCTTTCCTTTTCTCTGCTGGTGGAAAATTAAAACAGAGCGACTGAGAATTTAAATTTGCTAGTTGTGGAAATACTGAAGAGTAAGAATGTCGGGGTCAACAGCTCCTCTATATAGCATTTACTAAACTTTATTTTTTGCCGAAGTTAGGGTTGGTTTGTTATTGCTGTGCTTTGAAAATAAGTTTATTTTTGTTGCTTCACATTTTTAGGCTTTTTTTATTTTTAGGCTTTTTAAGCTCAACTTTATTTCATACCTATTTTTTATAAAAGCACATCAGTATCAAACCAGTACTTAAAGTGCAACTAGCAAGCTCTATGCTTCAAAAATGACGTGATTGAATATCTTATTTAGGTTTTTACCAACCTGATATACTCTCCATAATTTCAAAAATACCGTGACACGTGAAATTGGAATTGAATATGGTCCATATGATAGCATACTCACTACTCACGATACGAGATATTTTACCATTAATTATTCATTGTGATACAATAATACATCAATAAAAAATAAGAAATAAATTATAATTTCAAACTCAGCACAATAGTAACATACATTTTGAATTGCATTTAGAGAAATGTTAAGCATACTCTTTCATAAGTGGAACTGTTCATGGATTATTTGTCATATTATATTTTTGACATAATTTTCGTAATAACATTATAAGATATTGTGCGAAAAGTATAAAATAGTGGGGAGTGCATAGATAGTCCGAAAATCTCCGTTGCATTTCTCTTGCAATAAGCTTTACAAATTCTTAAGGATCCCGGCGATTAATCGGCTTGATACGAGGAAATAAGAGCTCGTTTTGATGTGCTTTTAAAATAACTGAAAACTTTTTTAGAGAAAATATTTATGAGTTCCAAAAACACTTTAAGCGCTTTCAACAAGAAACATCAATTATGTATTTTTTCCAGAAAACACTTTAAGTTATTTTCTCGAATTTATTAGTATTTTTACTAAAAATTATTTCCAAAAATAATTTTACTAAAAATATTTATATTTTTAAAAGTACATCCAAACAAGCTATAAATCGTTTTCACAATTCATTAGGGGCGGCGGGGAGGGAGGGGGGACTATGCCTATCTATTGTTCACGAGGTTATTCAATCAATTATCTATCTAGTCACGTGTCTACTTTATGAGGTGCACATTTGCGCTACAACTCACTCGCACGTGGGAAGCAATCTAGGGTCCCACTTCGCTCAAAAGCTTCTCGCACGTGGTTCCATTACCTGCCCAGCCGGTCACCTTAACTGGACTACATCTGTAAACCTTAATCTCAACATGCACCCGCGTCTATATAAAGTAAAGTCATCCTATTCCCATATCATCAAACTTTTAAAATTTAAACGGTCGAGATCACTTACAACTCTTCCTTCCTTGTCAAAGCAACTCCCACTCTCTCTCTCTCTCTTGCTTCTCTCTCTAGACTCGGGACTCCGTAATATTTTTATGTTTTTGTTTGCTGAAGGCGGAAGTTTTTGCCTTATTCTCTCTCAGTGTCAGATAGCTCGGGATTTTGGTTGAAGGATTTGTTGGTTAGTCTTTTTTTTTTCTTTTTCAGGTGGACTTTTTTGTATGCTTTTTCTTTTTTGAGTGATTGTGGTGGGCTGAGATGGAGAGAGATTTCTTGGGTTTGAACTCAAAGGAGCCGGTGGTTGTGGTGAAGGAGGAGACCAACAACGATGGCGGCAAAGACCCAGGTCCGTGATTTTCCGTTCACTCTTTTAGTCACAGAAAGTTTTCAGCTTTTCAATTTTATAAATTTGGAATTTTTGAGCTTTTCGTGTATGAATTATGTGTTATTTTCTAATTCAATTGGAGTTGAGCAATTTTAAGTTTACATGGGTGGTTGATTAAGTTTTTAGAATTGATTAAAGGATTCATTAGATATTGGTCCTAAAAAATCACGATTTCTAAACATAAACCTAGGTATAGTTAAAAATCCAACAAAAATTCAAAAGTCAAATAAACTGCCACATGAGAATATAAGTAACCTACTAATATAAATTATTTACAATTTTTGCCACAACCCACACTTGAAAATTAGTTTCAATCAAGGGCCTTAAAATCTAATTAATCATTCTGACGTTCTATTTATTTATTTTTAATTTCTACAACAATCTATTGCATTACTTTAAACGTCCCTACTTTACCTATATAAATAATATCGCCCTATAGTCTATTATTTACCTACAGTATATAAACAAAATATTCCCATATTTCTTCTGGCAATTTACCTATGATATATGCAAATAATATTCTCATGTTTTGTTGGCATTTTTCCTAAATTATGCAAGTAGGTAAATTATGCCAGTAGGTAAATTTCAATAATAGTAGGTAAATTATGCACACGTGATTTACCTACATTTTTTAGGTGAATCAAATATTTAGACTGTATATGTAAATAATTTATCTATAGTTGGTTCTTTTCTTTTTCTTTGTCCTAAAATTACTTTACCTACAATTTTTATCTCCTTTAATTTATATATTTTTACTTAAACAACAATTTTTTTTTATATATTTTAAAGTACAATAATTTACCTATATATAATATGGACACGTTGTAATGGTAAATTGGAATTCGAGAGCCAAACTAACCAACCAATCCCTACATTTATATGCAAAATATTATTTTTGTAAAATCATTAATTCTCCCTTACAATTTGCATAGAATTAATTGTGTGCATTACACATTCAATAAGGGTGTTTTAGGCATCCGAAAAAATTTAAATGGGTAAAGTCAAACATAATTAATGAATTTGCTTATGTGGAGTCTAGTCAATGGGTTTTATTTGAGCAAAAAATTTACGTCGGGTTTTATGTGGAGAAAATTGAGTTCCAGGAGCTAAAGTCATATTTTCAGTTGATTTAAATGGTTTAGTAGAAAGTACATAATGCTTGTTTATTATGGTTTGTCTATATTTGAATTTAGTTTACTTAACCTGCATCTGAATCTGTCTCCCCGTAGTTTAGATTAGATTAATTAGAATATTGCTCGATTAAAAAAAAAAAAACATGTGAACAATTTTATCTTTAAGATGTGATTGTTTATGGTGTTCAAAAATTTCCCAGCTGAGGTGCGCTGGTAATTTATCACATCCTGTCAGTTTCTTCTAGTATTGGTTTGTCCATGGTAGGATGTTTGCATAGCAGGAAACTTTGAATGCCGATAAATGAAGACTGAAATCTATTGAAGCTTATACGTAGGAGGTTCTTGTAACTTGGACTTTTGAACAATTTGTTTATTTGTTTGTGATGTTTAGGGTTTGGAAGAGGTGGAGGTGCTCATTCGCCGTTTCAAAACAAGGTCTCTGCAGTTCCTCATTTTATGTCCTTCAAAGCTGCTCAAGATGATAGGACTAAAAAGATGTTACCTGATTCCTTATTGTCTTCCGTCTCCGCGGATGCACTTGGCCCTTGTCAAAAACAAACTGCATATGAAGCTCAGGTATATGTTGTCGCCTTTGTTGGGTTAATTATGATGCCGTTCTCTTTTATTTTGCATATTTGACTTCCATATCGCCTTGAATAATTTGACTTATCGGGAATATTTAGGATCAAATTGCCTTCTGATATTGTTGTTGCCGTTTCCCTCGTTGGTTTGTGTTTTTTATTATCTAGGATTACTTCAATCACGATAGGCAAGGTGGGGCTCATTTTTCCCTGACAGCTTATCATATGCAACATGATGTGCATTCTGTGCACCGTCCTCATGATGCAAAGATGATTTCAGTTACCAGTCAAGGGATTTCTGTTCCAATGAGCAATCCTTACTTGAAGAATCACTTGGCTACAACTGGTCAGAATTTTTCCACCACTACCATGAAGCACCAAATATTTGGAGGAATTCCTGTTACGGCTCCACTTTCAGCTCTTCCCGTTGCAGGTGGTTCCATTGCTGGGATCACTGAACCATGGTAACTTTGATATTATGCTCGAGTCCTTGGTCGAAATTTCATAAAAACAACTGAATTCTGAGGTTTGTTAAAACATTCTTTGTAGGAACAATGTCAAGATCTCTGGGTCTCCTTCACAATTGACAATCTTTTATGCTGGTACTGTGAATGTCTATGATGATATCTCCCCTGAGAAGGTACCCTCCCTCACCCTCTAGGTCAAACACACAGACACGTTGCCAGCGCACACATGAAAACACGGGTTTTTCTTGTTAACCTTCTATTGGGTCATGTGAGCTCTAAAATTGTTTTGGGACATCTTTTCAGGCTCAGGCAATGATGCTTTTGGCCGGAAACAGTTGTTCTAACTCCTCTAATGCTGCACAACCCAAATCTCAAGTGCCTAGTGCGAAGTTGGCAGCGGAAGACGGTGTTCCTGTGAATCAGGCTACAAATATACACCCACCTGCTCTTTCTAGCCCCTTATCTGTTTCTTCACATTCTGGCGCCCAGTCAGCAAGTGGGTCCACAAGCACTGATGAACTAATGGCAGCTAGAACTTCCAGACGTCCAACCAGTCCTGTTAACAAAATGGAGGCTCCAAAAACAGCAAATGCAGCTGGATCTGTTGCCGCAACTTCTATGATTCCTTCTGGTATCAACATTTGCCTTTTTCTTTTCTTAATTGGACAATGTTTGCAATCTAAACTGGCATATGCTTTCCTGTACAGCTGTTCCACAGGCTCGCAAAGCATCCTTGGTTCGGTTTTTGGAGAAGCGCAAGGAAAGGTACTTTTTGTTCATTCCAACTATAATCTTTTGAGACTTAGGAATTGCTCACTGTCCATATATAAGAACATATGATTGTTACTTAGAATTGTCTATTTTTTCCGAGGAACAGCTAAACAACTGACCTAACTTCTTACCTCAAAATAGAAGTGAATAATAACATCCCGGGTTCCATCTTCGTCTGTGCAGGGTGATGAGTGCAGCACCATACAACTTCGACAAGAAATCACCAGAACACGGCACTCCAGAATCCGGCGGAGTGAATTTTGGCCAACAAGGAGAACAACGATGATGTTCGGTGCTAAAGCAGAAGGGATAATTATTTCAAAATTTGTGTAGTACGAGTGAAATATGTGAAGCACATTGTCATTGTTGGTAGAAAATAACAGTTATCCCGACTGTTTGAGAATTTAAGTTTAGTCTCAACAGTGTTGTTGTAGGGTTGTGGCCCCTTTTTATTTTGAATGCTAGTCGGATCCTTTTACCCGAATCCGACTGTATAATGTTGAACGAACAACTTTGTGTAATAATATTATATTTTATATACGATTTTTTATCTGCATGTTGCTATATTATTGATGCAGGATGTTATCATATAGCTCTGGTAACATCCTTCACGTATTGAGATCCTCTCCAGATCTCAAGATCTTTTAATCTTGGCCGTTAACATGGATCGCGCCTTCTGTGGTTGAGACAGAGAGAGACAGTTGGGACCATAATTGGTGGACATGGGTGGGTGGGTCCACAAAATAACTTGCAATACCGTCAAAGTTGAAGCCAATCAATCGTTGCTTTTGTAGTGACGTGACGTGGCGGGGTCTGTCTAGTTGTCGCCACCTACGCTGCGGGCGGAGTCGCTTTCTTCGCTGTTCACCAATTTAGCACACGCCCTCCACGTTTGGAAGAATTCATGAAATGATCATGACAGCTCTTTTCCGATGAGCCACCGGAAAATAATCATGCAGCTTCTCTAAAGATCAGCCTTTGCACATCACACGTTTATGGAACAGAAGAGGTTCCGACCACCTCTCCACCACCACCTTCCAAGAGAATCGAGAGGTCCTCAAATGTTCTTCAAAGAATCTTCTACCGACTTTCTGGTGGTCCACTCCGATTTTTATATAGATTCACCTCTATCCGTAAGTGAAAGACTTCAGGTTTAAACTCGTAAAGGACGAGTTTGATACCAAATTTATTTTGTATTTGATAGGAATTCTTTTTCTCGAAAGTTTGTTGACGGAGTTCCCATTGAAAAGAATTTGAAAGCCGCCTCTAACTACTATTCTTCCGTTTTTGTTTTATGTGAGAAATTGTTCTAGTTCCTAAAAGATGGAGATATTTACGCAAGAAGAGATCAATTGTTGGATAGTGACTAATTTGCATCGTGACATCTCGATTTAATAATGCAAGGACAGTTAAAACTAATTATACGATGGTGATATGATGATTAACTAATTAGGTTCGAATTATATTACAATATTGCTCGAATAAAAAGAGATTTATTTTATGAAAATCTACAAGAAACCCACCCAAAGCCTGCCTATTTCTGTCGCTGGATACATAATGTTACACTATACACGACTTTACATACTCCAGAAAGGAACGTCCTGGCTGGTGTTCTATAATTATCCCAACAAATGGTGCAATCAGCTTATGAGAGATGCTAAAAAACCCAAAAATTTACGACGAATTCTGGTTCAACTTGGGATGCGTAGCAGCGTAAATGGAAGAATTCGTATCGGGTTTTAAGTGGGAAAGAAGGTGTTGTATGTCCGGACGCAGACTTTCCGCAGCTCTTCCACAGAGAGCTAAAACCTCTGGTCTGGGCTTGCTGTTAGCCTGCACAGGACCTCCCTGCCCTTCATAGTGGACGATGTGATGGCTGAGTAACACAACGGGTTACGCATGGTTAGCTATCGTCAGGCACTACAACAACAGCTATATCAAACCACAAACGGAAAATTTGTTTGCTTCAAGTACAGAAAAGCACTTACAAGAAGTCAATTATATCTGCTATTTCTAATGGCTTGACTGGAATTGGAGGCTGTACATTCTTCCCGAAGACATCTACCATCATACTTAAAATCAATGACAGAGCCTGAAACGGTTTACAAAATGATTAACCACAAACAATTGAAACTTTGTTTATACATATTACTTGGACAAATTCAAAACGCATAAAAAATGATTAAAACCTTTGACGAAATTCTAATAAAAGCTCCCAATAAGTGAATTTCTGTACCTTACTGAAGAGGGCGTGCGCAGTGGCTAGTTTAGGGAGCAAGGGACCCATTATCCGGAATGCTATTCTCAACATTGCAACTGAAGTCACTGGCCTGAGATGTTTGATGATAAGATGGGTTCCTTCTAGCCACTCATGTGGGAGGTTACTGAAAAACGAATGAAGCAGGGCAACAATATTACCTGCAATCACAACATAGAGTTAGCTATAAACCCTCGGATCGGGAAGCTAAGCAAGGTTTAGCAGTAAATAACCATTGCATATATTGTAGCATACCAATGGCGGTCGAGGTATTGTCTTGAGCAGCCCATGTTGGATCCAACAAAGCATAACCGACAGCAGAGTCTACTTCTCCCATTGACCCTTTGCCATCAGTGAGCCACCATGTTTCTTTTATTATACGTGATGCCTCTAGATAGAGTTGCATATGAAAATCAGGAGGCAGTTGAGCCAGTAGAAGACCACACTGCTTGGATCAATAAGCAAGACAACTGTTGGCATGTATAACCACTTCGAGAAACAAAGTTAGATGCATTTATTCCTGACCCTGAAGCAGCTGACCTGCTCGTGCCCAAGGAATCTGTGCTTCCGCCCGAAGGGGATGTTGGTAAAACAGAGCCTTGCCCAACACCATTTGGAGCTCCGTGCAGGCCATTGCTGGATTGAATTAATGTTGGTTGTATATTGATGACAATCTGAACCAGTGATGATACAATCTGGGATGAAGATACAGGAAGAGAGAGCAGTTCAATGACTGCTGTTTCAAGAACCAGCTGAGTATATGTGCCTGGATCCTGAATTTGAAAGAATGCTTTTTGGCCATCAGAAACATTTGCTTGCCCAGACTGCGACGTTGGAGGAGTCTTGTTAGGTGGGGCACGCATTGAATTATTTAAAGCATCATTCGCTCCAGATTTTGAGTTGTTATGCAATGGAGGAATGACATTATTCACTAGTCCCAGTAAGAGAGTTGCAAAGTAATCGGCAGGTGGGCACATGGTGGAATTTGATAAATTCATATGCACCGGGAATGACTCAGAAAATGGGATCTGAAACAAACTTGGAGTTAATAAAGTAACTGGAGGATAATAGTACTCAATAGTCAATGCTGAATACCAAAAAAATAAAAAGGAGAGCAAAGTCTTTACCTTGTTGACTTCGAGTCCATTCAATATTCGGACAATGAGCTTTCCGGGAAGATGCCATAAAAATATGCAAGTATGTCACGAACAAATGTAAATCTTAAAGGGTGGTATTTAAGAAATGTAGAATACATGACCAGAATTCTTTCAGCTGAATCTATGGCATCATTTTCAATTAGTCTATAAATTATCAACGGAATGACTGGGAGCAAACGCCCTGCAATATCATCGAAGAAAGTAGGATACCTGCATAACATAAAAGACCATGTAAGTGAATAATGATATGCACTAACGATTCACAAAGTTTAGCTTCTCTGCATGATTCTTATCTTAGCTTAAAAACCATACTATATAGTCCCAACATCAAACCCCAAAAAAAAAAAAAAAAAAAAACGGAAGAAAAAGTTTATATATAACATGATGCAACCTGTCCTTCCAGGATAGATGATTCCCAAGGGCCTTTTGCAATTCAACTCGCTTAAAGGGTCCAGAGAAAAGCCAGTGTTCAGGGGGACCTCGATTCACACAATATAGTTTCACCCTCTGTTGAAGTTCTTGCCTATCAAGTAGACTAATCTGCATCACATATTAGTACATAATTGCATCAAGAATATATCTTGTATTGTAGTACATATCCAGATCAGTTTGTTTAATAGATAAAGTGCAATTCTCACATTAACCTTGTTCTTTTTAATTAGTTCATATATGCAAACAAGATTAGAAATTCTAAATAAAAAATAAAATAAAAAGTTGAAAGCACGTACCACGATATGCAAAGCATGGGGGTCATCGTCACGATCAATAAGTGCCAGGAGCAAAATATCCAAAGGGAGCAACTCATGGGTCCAAATATAAAAAGCTAGGTTTGCACAAGCTTTCAATAAAAGATCCTGAAAAAGAAATGAATGAAATGTCCGTAAAAACAACTCCACAGGCATGCAATACAGAGGATTGTGTCTGAAAAGCCTAAGAACAATTAACAGACCTGAAAAGAATGGCCATGCTGAAGTTCCAACTGAATGTGATGAAGCAGAACATCCACCATTGTATAAATATTAGATGTTACTTCCTCAGGAGAAAACTCTCTCAAGACACGTGCCTGAAACCATATAAGGAAGAAATTAAGCAACAGTTTCCTAGGCAATACAAAACGAAGTCCACCAAGACGTCCAGGTTCTAATAGCAATGGATAAATACTAATCATGGTTTTATTCATAATGCATTAAACTTACTAAGTTTACGCTGTTAATGTTTTCTGGGTGCCCTTGCATCAGGATCCATGCACCAGCACATAGATATTGTCGGTGTTGAGGAAAACTGTGACTGATATAGGTCATTACATATTTAGGATCAGCGGAAGGTGACAGAAGCTGGGTGCATTGGTTAATCACAGTGGTTTCGGCCTGCAAAAGAGGATCTTTCATCATTATGTTTATCTAAGAAATATTCATGATGGACAATGTTCCAAAACCAAGTCTGACAGGAGAAGTTAATAGTTTTAAGTACAGAAAATTCTAATCAATCCTGTAGGATAACAAAATCATCTTTATGAAAGGGGAAAAAAAAAGTCATGGCATCTGAAGTTTGACAGCAGGAAAAAAAAGATGTTACAGATGAACAAAACAGACACTACAAAATCAAAAAACATGGGAGCAACAACGAACCTGCTGCCATTCTTGAATTGCCAGGCCCCTTTTATCAATCCGTTGGATCAAAACATCACGTAGAAGAGAAGGGAAATAGCGTAGTGTTTTCTCTGACCATGTGTGATTACTAGTGGCTAATATCTGCTCTAACATGGTTTGAAGATAAAGCAGATGTTCAGCATCTGCAATTCCTCGTGTCTTAATGATGATTGCAAGAGTGACAACAGTTACTCGATTCAAAGTTTCTGTGAATTCAGTTGGACCCTGCCAAAGTTTAACAATACGTACAATTACATTTCAGTTTGTCTATGAAATTGAAACAAAAAAGGGTTGCTGTTTGGAAAATGCAGTATATACCTTCCCTTCTCTTTTCACCAAGAAAAAGTCTCTCAGAGACAGAATAAGATTCATACACAAGTTCTCAGCCAACCTAAATACACGATGGTCTCCACGTTTTGATTTTAGAGCAGAAACTATTTTCGTAACATCATACATCAAGGCTTTGCTTTTTCCTTGGTACCTATATGGAAGATGCGACAACTTATAAATTTTAACTTGCAGTGGCATTATATGGTAGATGAAAGAAATATAAAGTCAATATTTACAGCATCTGAAGCCAAGAGAGTCCTACCCTATCTTTGAAAATTATAATTAACTTGAAGGAAGTGTAATTTCAAGCATTTGGATAATACAAATAATCACCTGTAAAGTGGAAGCAAACGGTAATTCAACATTTCAAGCACTAAAAGAGTTACGCCTGGCTTGCTCAATACCGAGGGATTCCTTTGCGCCAAATGCTGAGATACAGAATAAATAAATAAATATCACAGTACAAGTTAATGAAACGCAAAAGGTTACAACAGTACTGTTTAAAAAATGGACAAGGAAATTAAATTTTAACAAACGACAAATGGTGCTTACTGTGACAAGGGAAAAAAAGAGGAAGGGTATTAACTACAAGTTAAGACGGCAAAGACTTATACAGAGTAACCAAATCAACATCATAGTTACACAAGTGTAGGTGAAGGTGAACGCCAAAGACGTATCTGGAAGACCGACCATACAGACTATCAACTTACGAGAAGGAAAAAGTCAACATGAAGCTTTAATACGTTCTATATGATTTAGCTTATCAGTAAAATGCTAATAATATAAGGTGGCAACAAGCCTAGTAGTAACATTTCAAGGAGTTATGCTACAGACTTGGGGTCAAATTTTGCGTGCTAAGGAAAAGGGCAAACCTCATAGCTTTTGATCTTTAAGTTAAGTGCCCTAGTGGGAGTAAGTTATTAAGATGCATGATCATTTGCGAGAAACATGAGAAACATTCAATCAGAGAAGCAATGAAAACCTTAGAGTTAAAAGAAAATTACATTGAAATGAGAACGAAATAATGACTGAGGTGCAATGAGCAGCAGCCTACAATATGTTTCAGCCATGGCAATACTAGGTACAACCTGCATTTAAAACATAAGAAAATATGTCAAAAGACAGTTCAAAAAGAGTAAATAATAGGTTGGTTGGTATATACAAAAAAATATTTTCTACTAAGAAGCCACTCTCAGATCAATGGTAAGAAGCCATAGCTTGAAGTATAAATTTCTTCTGATTATGCGCAAATCTCAAAATTAGAAATACTGTGATTTCTATCAAAGTGAACAAAAAAGATTCATGAACAGCTCCATAAGGTGCAAGATAAGTGTGTGTGTGTGTGTGTGTGTGTGAGAGAGAGAGAGAGAGAGAGAGAGAGAGAGAGAGTAGAGGGGGAGTGGCCAACTCCTTTATTTTCATTTTCCCCTTCCCCATCATTATACATGTAATCCATGTTCTTAGTTCTTACAGCCTGCAGCCTCTGGCTATCCGATATGGAAGGCATACATCAGTAAATGAACAAAAGTTTCAATTACCAACAAGTATATTTAACCAATTTAGGGCTACTTCCAAATCCTAGCTGAAAATAGCAATTTCCAAGAAAAATAAAAGATTACCTGCCCAGAAAATAAGGATTCTTCCATTTGATACGCCAGCTTTAAACATAGGTTCATTGAAAAGCCAGATAACAAGGACATCGGCAGTGGACATACTTCCCGCATAACCATTAGCCTCTCATTGGACTGTAAGTTTGTTCCTGGTAACGACTCTATAACCCCAGCAGAGGATAACCAATTGATCACAGTTTCACAAGCTGGCTGCGCCATGGTGTAAGACACAACCCAAAACATCCCAATTGACCTTTCATCCATATTCATATAATCCATCATTCGGTCCCCTGAAATAGAAACCAACAGATACAAGTTCACAAGATTTCCAGGAAAAATGTCCTATTATAGAACTTACTAAGTCATATAAGGCAATTTTATAACAATCGTTCTATGATTTCGTTGCCAGAAACTGTCAATTTGTAATACTTCTGGAGTGGAATGTACCTTTGCTCGCTGTCCTCCACCATTCATCTATTTGCTTTCCTTTCTGAAGCTGCTCATTATTCAGATATTCTCTAGTTGTTGTGTTCAACGACCAAATACGTAAATTCTGGCAACTGCTTATGAAGTCCAGCAGTATACTTTGAGGACTATTTGGATCTGAGCTCCTATCTTCTTTATGAAATGATAGGATCTTTCTTGTTGTCTCCACCTACAAGCAGTAAAGCCACAGGCTATAAATATGACATGATCAAGTCATATCAAATTATAGAGGAAGCACAAATCAAATTGACAGAAGTCATTCTTCGGGGACAAAGTGAAATAATGCCGACATTTAGTTAGTGCAGCTAAATAGACAAAGAAATTGCAAGAAGTGAGACAAATTATGTGACTTCATTAGAAAGACAACGGATTCTACTTTTCAAGGACAACCTTTCTAGCATCTTGATTTAGAGCATTCATCACATGTTCAACCCGAATAATTTGAGCAAGAAGCCAAGTGACGTGATTTGTCCTAAGAATTTGTTGATCACCCTCGTTAAGGCGTGAAACTAGCTTGTCCACAAAATCAACGAAATCAATACAGCCACTTTTTATAAGAAAATAGAATATATCCGAAAAGACAAGCCACTCTTGCCAGCAATTAATATCTGCAAGGAACAAGATATAAGCATTAGCTTACTAAAATATCAATCATTATACATGCAGCCAGAACCACAAAATAAAAGTAGGATAAAAGTTAAAAAAAAAAAAAAAAATTAGGATAAAAAATTATATAGAATTGTACTAAAAAAAAAAAACTATGTAAGAAGAAAAAGGAAGGTCTACAATATCCATAAGAAAGCCATACAGCTAAGAAAAGGCTAATCTTATTAATTAACAATGAAGATAATATTACCTGAATTGGTCAATTTCAATAGCTCAACAATTCTATCAATTGTTGCCTCGCAAATCATTTCAGAGATGAAAACAGCACCAGGAGTAGGTCCTTGAGAAGGAGACCTGTAGCAGGGGGCTACAAGCAGCACCCGTTTCCACCAGTCAGGTGATGGAGTAGTACAAAGAGCATGCCTTATGCAACGCAAAGCTCTCTCCCAATCCAAACTTCCCTTCGGAATTGAAGTTGCAAGGTCCTGCACCAGCAAAAGCAAAGCAATTCTAGATTATATCCCCTAAAAAAGATCCCTAAAGAAGTAGCATAGATACAGAAATTATGCTTGGTGGAGAATATCATTTCTTTTTACAGATATTACTAGTACATTATCATAAATCGAATGATACCAACTATTGTATAAACATGATATATACTGATATTCCCATGACAAATAACGAATTCTTAAATAAATTCATCACCTCTCCATGCAATGGTTCTCCAAGAACACTTGGATATGTGATTGGTGAATACCGCAAGGTTGCTACTGCTTCTCCTGAAACACTAGGAGTTGTCTGCGTGAAAATCCGATGAGTCCCAAAAGTAGGGCAATGTAGGTGTTGATCTAACATTTTCATGTGCATGGCCATCATATCTCGTCTCCTATGGATCTCCAAGATTAGAGTAAATAAGGCTTCATCATCAGGTATATTCTCCATAAATTGCAACCCACTTCGCAGTAATTCATAGAAGGGCACTCGGCATTTATCATCGTCAACCAAAAGCCAAATCACATCCAAACAGCTATGTAGCCATTCAATTAGCGCCTTTCCAGGTCTCCAGGATCTTACACTATCAGATTCATCAACCCCAAGTTGTTTTTGGTCCCAATTAACCAGCCAATTAAGCATATGGGAAAAGATGTTAGCATGAGTCACTGGTTTTAAATTAAATTCGATTCCAGTTAAAATGATCTTGCAGCACAGCTGACGAAGACTGCTTATGGCATTATCTCTTATAGATGAGTTGAACCTTGCCGTAGCCTGCTGTCCATTGGAGGCTATGTCAGATGATTTAACCGGTGACATAGATGATGGTTCAATAGCAGACTGGCTGGGGGAACCAATGCCATGCACTGAAGGTAATGGAGAGGCAGGACTTGAAGATTGGAAATTAGACGAGTTGGGGATTGCATTCAAAGATGGAAGCATACCGGACTGCGATGAAACAGCAGGCATTGCTTGACTACCTTGACCAACTGACATTTCTGCAGCAGAGACTGAAGAAAGAAGGGACGGCAAAAAAGTATCCCAGTTAATGTGACCTATAGTACACAAGCTCCTTAGAGCAAAGAGAAGAAACTCCGCCCGCGGCGCATGATTGCTGCATTGCACGACTAAAGATATAAGTACAGACTCTGTCACGACATTCAGTTGATCTTGGTCCTGAAACACACCAAACAACAGCATCAGAACTACTACCTTAAGGTAATAAAACTACTAACAACAATGATACATAAAACAGCTCGTTTCGAATTGTGCAACTCACAGGAAACTGGCTCTGCAGTTGTTCAAAATCCAGTAGGAACTGCTCGTTTCGAGGTGGAAGCTCCGATTAAGAGCAAGTACACGCTTCTGTGACTTGTTCCTGAAGAATCGACAACATTAACTTCTTCAAAGTGGTTTTTTTCCAACTCAAATTTTTTTCTTTGATGAGTATTATCATATCAACTGTACATTTTGAGCACTCAGAACCCAAAATTATAATCTCTAACAAAAAAAAGAACGTTAATTTAAATTAGTTCATATAATTCGAACTAATTACGCAGCCTAATTTAAATTAATTCATACCATTCGAACTAATTACGCAACAAACAGACACACTTACGGAAGTTCTCGAACTGAATCATCGGATTTTTGGCGGCTACTTCTCTGCGAAAAAGCATGAAAATTTCTTAATTTCAGATTTATTGAATAAAAAGTTAGAACAAAAAAATACAGAGCGAGTGCAAATTGTACTCACTCCTAAGTAGAGGTCGAAAAGATTGACAATTGCGGCGCGTGCTGGGTGGAACTGGTAAGCTCGCGAGGCAGCTGACGCCGAGGAGGATGGTCTCTGGTTTTGGTCCATTGCTTCAGTTCATGTCCAATCGGAGCTCCGGCGGAGATAATGGAAGAGCGAAGAAAGTGAGGCGGTGGCGGAGGAATCAGTTTTTTCAGGTAGGCGGAGGCGCTGCGGTTTTGTACTGGGCGAATAGTTATAGTGGGTATTTGCGTGTGGATACGGAGCCCCGAATAACATATACTACGCACAGAACGCGGTCAGTGGCGCTAAGAGCGCGGTCAGTGTAAAGGCTCCTTGCCAATAGCCAATTCAATCACGAATAATAACTGTGTTTAATGAATAGTAATTATCTACCCATAGTTATGATAATAGGTAATAAAATATTAGTACTTTTTATGTTTGAAAATAATAAAAAATAATTTTATTTTTAATTTCGGATATAATTTTTAACCGATCTTGTCACGTTCATGTGTCATTATACAAAAGTATAATTTTTGTGGATAGATTTCAATAAATTTTTAACAATTCTTTTGTGCGACGTGTCCTTCCATCTTTAAATTGTTGAAAATATTGAAATGTAGTGTAACTTTTTAAATATAATTTTCCTTGTGTAATTCTTAGATAAAATGAAGAAAATCTATTTAATGACCTAGTTTACCAAGACTATCTCCAACTCTTGGGTTAAAATCTAAAATTTTTAGCCCAAAAAATTTAGTTTTTAACCCATAAACAGTTTTTTTGCTCCAACCATTATTGATTAAAATTTTAACCCCAGATTATTAAAAAATGAATTTTAGGCTTTTTTTTTTCTTTCTTAAAGTGACTTTTTTTAAAAGAAAAAATTATGTAGACTATCCTAATTTAATTTTATGAACATTTTAACCTAAAAATATTTAGATTTCGACAACTATTGAAAAATCACTAACCGACACAATGAAACTTGTGAAACACTATGAAAGAATATGAAACACATAAAAGAATTTTTTTTAATTACTTCGGCCGTTTGATTTAAATTTGGATTATTATATATATATTTACCTTTATATTTGATCAAATTATATCTTAACCATTAGATTCAATTAATTTATAAATATAAAACTTAAAAAAAAGGGAGATTATATTCACACACTCTAAATTAATTCCCTCACACCTTTTTAATTTTTTAATATTTTTCTATCAAGTGTTAGTGGTGTGTAGAAACTATTAAAAAATTAAAAGGGTGTGAGAGAAGTAATTTGGGGTGTGTGAATATAATATTTCAAAAAAATATAAATATATGGTGGCCCAGCCCTATTAAACCAGGGGGAATTATGGGCTAAATTTGACCCATAAATGAATTTTGAGTTTTAACTCATATTTGCCCCCAAGGGTTGAAGCAAGTTGGGGTAAATTTAGAACCTAAAATTGAAGTTTTACTCAAAGAGTTGGAATAGGTCCAAGAGATATATTTTTTTTTTTAATTGAACCAAAATTGTGACATCCCACATCGCCCAGGGAAGCGATCCTTAAATGTATATTATCATCCTTACCTAGCACGAGGCCTTTTGGGAGCTCACTGACTTAGGGTTCCGTAGGAACTCCGAAGTTAAGCGAGAGTGAGGCTAGAGCAATCCCATGATGGGTGACCCACTGGGAAGTTACTCGTGAGTTCCCAAAAACAAAACTGTGAGGGAATGGTAAGCCCAAAGCGGACAATATCGTGCTACGGTGGTGGAGTCGGGCCCGGGAAGTGGTTCCGCCCCGGGCCGGGATGTGACAATTTGGTATCAGAGCCTAACCCTGGCCGTAGTGTGCCGACGAGGACGTTGGGCCCCTAAGGGGGGTGGATTGTGACATCCCACATCGCCCAGGGAAGCGATCCTTAAATGTATATTTCCATCCCTACCTAGCACGAGGCCTTTTGGGAGCTCACTGGCTTCGGGTTCCGTAGGAACTCCGAAGTTAAGCAAGAATGGGGCTAGAGCAATCCCTTGATGGGTGACCCACTGGGAAGTTGCTCGTGAGTTCCCAAAAACAAAACCGTGAGGGAATGGTAAGCCCAAAGCGGACAATATCGTGCTACGGTGGTGGAGCGGGCTCGGGGAAGTGATCTGCCCCGGGCGGGGATGTGACAATTGTTGGAAATGTGCCCTAAAACCAATCATATGATGATACTTTATGGACATTTCACATGTTAAACTAATCTAGTTTAATATTAAGGGCAAACATTATTGTTTGAGCCGTCTCATATAAATGTTATATGCTTAAACGATAAGTCCAAGGAATATGTGATTGGAAGAATGCGATCTAAAGAAGTTAGATTCATGAGACCATTCTTTCGTTGACACATCCTAAACGTTCCTGATCATAAGATTGTCAATTGGGCATTGACAGTCCGTTAAGATCAGTAGGTGCTATGTCTTCTCTCAGGGAGAGTGACTAGTCTTGAGTCATTGGTGTGTGTGACATCAAGACAAGTACGTAGGTGCTCAATAGAGAATGAGTTCACTGAACACGATCAACGAAGAGTTCTCATATTCATGTCACATGAGAACTCATGGTTGGGATAATGCAAATTAGTCTTTTGACCTGAGGCATCACAGTTGTCTTGTGGTTAGGTCCTTAATCTTTGATTATGTCAAAGTCACTCCATCAGGAGGGTGTCCACGGCATCGTTGGGGTTAAGCCACTTAGCCATGGAGGCAAGTGAATGCGCAACAAGGGATCTCTAACCTTCAAACTGTTTGAGGGAGAATACTCTATGATATGATTAAGAATCTTTGGCCAAAGTATGAATGAGATTTAGGAATATGTTCCAAATCACATTCAAGGTAATCATATAAGCACAAGACTCACATTGGATAGTAGACATAAATAAACTATCAAACAAACAATGTGGTCAAGAGTATTGTATTAGAGAAAGACCGTATTGCATTTGTAATCCTAAAACTGAATAGGTTCTCCACCTCTTCTGATTAGCTTGGGTAACCATGACATGCTGCTAGGCGTCAACCATGGTTTGTGGAAGCCCTAAAAGTGTATTATCACTAACGGGAGAATTGAAAGTAAGTTTCAATTCACAATCGATTTGAAAGAGTTTGAATCGCCCACTGCCTCGCTAAAAGGAACCTAATGGATCGTACACCGTGTAAGGTAGAGATTGAAGATTCAACGAAGATGAGTAAGAATAATTAAATGGTTTAATTATTTATGGCAAGGATTAATTAATATGTTAATTAATCAAACGAATAAATTCGTTAAAGACCTCGGGATAGTTTTGGACCTTAAGGCCCAATGGGCTTCGAACGTCAAGTCCATTGACTTAAGTTGTATGACAACTTAATGAATAATGATTCAAAAAGGTCCAAATAGCCCAATAAATCCCCTTAGGCCGGCCATTTAGAGGAGGGTAGTGAACTTGGCTTAATTGCAAGTTTGCCACTCCATTGTGAGGTGGTATAAAGACATCTTTATAGCCATTTCATCCTAAGGGTTTTCTTAGGAGTAAAGATGAGAACACAAACCTCCTTTTGCTCTCAAAGAGGCCGGCCACCTTGGAGGGATCATCTAGCAATCAAACTCCTCCAAGGTCACTCATTTCTTCTACAATATGCCTTGGTGTGGAGACTTAGAGGTTCTCAATTTTGGGAACTTGGAGAAACCTTTTCATCCATCCAAATCCATGGATCTAAGATGCAAGGAATGAAGGCCCTCTCTTTGGGTGATTAGCCTTTGCTTATGCAAAGAGGAATCTATAAAGGTATTGATTTCTCAACTCACTTTGTTTTGAGTTGAGTCTTGGTTCACCTATCTACTAGGCTTTGAAGTTCATGGGTTAAGTTTTGTTTTTGAGTGCATATAAACATGATTCCGCCTTTTAATTGTTAATTGCATGTTGTTGATGTTGCTCAAATGAACTTGTTTTTCACAAATCTTCCTTCAAGTGGTATCAAGAGCCTAAGTCTAGTAGTTGGTGAATCCTTTTAGGTTTTGTAGTTCATAGTTTGTGATTTGAATGTTGTAATTGTTACAAGCTTTATTCTTGCTTCTTTGAATGTAAATTTTGTTAGAAAATTTGCCATCTCAAATGTTGTAGATGTAGTTCATATGAGCATGAATTTTGGAGCTAAATTTTGGTGCCATGTTTTTGGGGAAATTCGGCCAAATACAAATAGTGGATTTTTGGGTTCTTGTTTGACTTGTTAAAAGTGTTTTAAAGTGACTTTTGGAACCCCTATATACCCTAGTATGGTTGTATGTTATTTCCCTTAAGTTTGAGTGGTTTTGGGATGTTTTTGGGTGAAGAATGTTCATGGAGCTCTTATGGGTTTTTCATGAATGTTCTTCATTGTTCTTGATATGTTCTTGCCAAGAACAAAAGGTTTGGTGTTTTGGTTCAAAGTTTTGATTTATTTCATAAAGTTTTTGTTTTGAAATATTTCTTATGTTTAAATATATTAGATATTTATTTTTAAAAAATTAAAGAAATTTTAGTGGGTAGGTGTGTAATGATTTATTCCATTTCACACACCCCACTTACAAAAACTTTGAAATTTTTTTTAATACTTTGCTTCAAAACCGGCCACCCTACTCAATTAGGGTCATTGTGGGGCTTTTATGCAATTACATAAAGTTTTGATACTTTTGTGTATTTGTACTTTGACCCAAAAGTTTACGTTTTTACGTAAATGTCCAAAATCACTAAAAGGACAAATTGTTTTGCTCCTTTAATGAAGTTTTAGCTTTTGTGGAAATTTTTGGGTTCTAGTTGTAATTACATGAAGTAGTGGACTTTTGTGTTTTTTACAAAGTGACCCCAAAAGTTTAAGTTTTTGCAAAATGGCCCAAATTAGGTAGAGAACAAAATTGTTTTGTCTCTTTAAATGAGAATTGAATTTTCATTTCATTTAGCTCCATTTAAATCAATTCTATGGATACAAAAACCAAATGAAAATGTTGCATTCAAGTTTAATTAGTTAAAGCATTAATTAATTAAAGAAAGGGTGATTATGAACCTAAGCCTACTATAATTGAGCCATGTGAAAGGCCGTTTCAAATTTGTTTGAACCATGGGAATGTGTAGATTAAATTTTGGTTGTAATTTGATATGATCAATTGTTGTAAAAGAGCATAAGCTCTTCTTTACTTTAAAGTAATTTGATTTGATCAATTGTTGTAAAAGAGCATAAGCTCTTATTTACTTTGAAGTACTCAT